AAACAGGTCAATTTCCAGATGACGATCAATCATTAAAGTGCTACACACTTTGTATAATGAAATCGATGCGAACTGTAAGGAATAAAAGTATCATTATATTTATTATAATTTAATCTAACATTATCAAAAGAGAATTGCTCACATAAATATACTTTTTCTTACAATCAAGTGGAAGAGTGGACGCATAGATGAAGGCATGATGCTTAAACAGCTGGATATAATGATGCCTGTCGAAATGGCAACGCCTCTGAAAGCAGTTACAACTGTGTGCGCTGCACGTCGTAAGTATATTTTTGTAAAACAGGAATCAACACAAAGTTTTAATAAAAAGATATGAGCGCATTCACGAGATAATTACAAAATCAATTTATGTTGTTCTTTTAATTTTGATATAAAAATTAATTTGAAAATTCGAACATTCTATTAATCTCAAATGATTACAAATTGATTTAAGTGTCTTAAGTTGATTGACACAAATGATTTTAAAAAAAGTTAAGAGTTCTTTATGAATTGTTTTTTTTTCTTACAGCTCCTGCTAGCGATGATTGCGAAACAACTTACCAGTTTGTGAAGTGTAGCTATGAAACAGATAAGGATCACTTCTTCTTCCCTTAATCGAAATCGGATGCAGATAATTTTGGAAAAATAATGTGATTACATAAAACGAAAAATTGTGATTGTGTTTTTAGCGATACGTAAACATAAAAGTTAAGAAAAATATACAATATAAAAAATTATAAGATTTATGTAATCATATATGAACAAATAGATTACGACAAGGCGTAATATTAAAATTGTATCTTAGAAAAAAATTATATAATATTATATATGCGTTTATGCATTATTATAATTAACAAGTAGTTTATCAAGTAACATGTGAAGTAGCTGTTAAAATTTTCTGTTGGTCAAAAGCGCTTTAAAAACGACATAAATAGTTGCACAATATCAATATATCTTTGTTTAAAATAATAATTTTCGAAACAAACGACTTTACTCTGCAAGAATACATGCAATTTTCAGAAACTTTCCCCTACTTTTCCCAAAAATTGTAATAAATATACAAAAATTTTAATCAATATAAAATATCAAATTATATACATATACATACACACGCACTTATCAACAATTAATAATTACTAAATATTTAACTATAAGAATAAAACTTGGAATGCATACAAAACGTTGAGCGAAAAAATCAATTATTGTAAAAAATTTCAATTATTGTAAAAAAAATAATAATTACAAATAATAGACAATTAAAATAGAAGATAAAAAATGAATGTTATAACTGCTAAAAAATCTGTAATTAATCTCAAATGTAAACACGTAATTTCTAAGAAAATCTAATCTTTATGTTTTTCTGAGAATCTCGGAAATTTATTTCCTTATGTACCTTGCATTATCCCGAATGCATAATCCCAAGACTGGCATCAATGGCACTTGCACAATGTTATGATCATCTGACCTTTGGAAATGATAATAAGACTCCGGGTTTCACTATTAGCGTTAATATCGCTAATTATGTCAACCAACACAGCAATTTAGACGTATTAAGATATGCCACCTTAAGAAATCTTCAAATTGAGGGTTCTCCCCCTAGGTTTTCATTTCATTTCCGTATATAAAAGTGGACGAATATATTTTGCACGCGATTTGCAAAAGTTTAATCCAGTTTCGGATCCATCCAAGATTCATATCGCGGTAAAAAAAAATCCGACAAATTAACAAAATTAGAAATAACGAATAATTGTAAAGATGAAAGGTGTTGGTGTGAGCTTTTTCATCTCATTCGTGCTAATAGCAAATTTGCAGAATACCGAGAGTGTAAGTTTTATAAAATTTTAAGAGAAATATGCATAATTGCACCAGAGTGAATAAGCTAGAAGAATTTAAAAAATTATATTCACAATATATTATATATTATTATACTTAATATTACAAATTATTAATATTTTTCACACACAACATCAAAAATAAATATATATTGCGTTGTTTTTATTTGTACAATCTACACAATTCAAACAATAATCGGAAAGCAACATTAAAAATTTAATATAAAATTTTTTTTCAATTATATCTCTAAAAGATGAGAATATAAAAAAAATAATGTTTTATTCATGAAACAAATTAAAGCACTTTCTTTCTCAATTTTTATTTTTTTTTTTTTTTTTTTTTTTTTTTTTTTTTTTGATATATAATTTCCCACATATATTATCCAAAATGTTTAAAGAATCACTCTTTTAAACAATGTTGAATTTATTCCAGCAATTAGAAAAAAAGTTTTAAAAAAATATATATGGATATAACTAAATATTAATAAAATTTTATGTCGCCATTTTTAGATTATTTTGTATAAAAAATAAGAAAATAGATTTATTAATGCATTTTTTTATTCAATTTAGAAACTAATTTAGATATTAAGATGTTTCGTATCTTTCCGATTATCATTAGGCCATTTTCATTTACATAGAAAAGAATGTCCTTAGACGAAATTAAAATAGCTCTGCTGCCAGTGAGAGAGGTCTGCATCGAAAGGGTTAGCGTCAATCCAAGTATGTATCAATAAAAGGAACTAATTTTATGTGTGTCTATATTCCATATATGTGTGTCTATATTATAAAACAGATGCAGATTAAAAAAAATAATAAAAATATAAAATGAATATGAAATTGTAGTAATGTATAATAAAACTTCAATATGTATTCGTGCATAGAAATGATTGATGATGCAAACAACGGTAATTTTGTACCCGACCGGAAACTGCAGTGTTATTACAAGTGCTTACTATTGATGACAAAAGTCGTAAGTAAAATTTCAATATTTTATTCTTAACAATCTTTTTATCGTATTCTTAATAACCTTGTTTTTAAATCGATTAACTAAAAAAAGAATACTAAGACAAGACATATTTACAACAAGAATGATTTTATAACTGTTTTAAAAAATACAAAAATATCGATATTTGTTTCTCTAAACCAATAAAATCATTTATACCAGTTCAAATTCAAACAATTTTGAATTTTATGCTAGACAAGCTTATGATCAATTTTAATAAAAAAAAAAAAAATTCTTTTACGCACAAAGAAAAAAACCTGTAGATAATTAGAATCTGTGCTTCCAGGAAAAGAAATAATTTGTTACTCGGCGTGATTTATTCATTGACGATCTTAAAAATAATTCGAGAGATCTAGAGGAATATAATTTATGTTTGTTTTATTTCCAGATGAAAAATGACCAGATAATAGAGAAGGCACTTCACAATATCGTGCAGTTCATGTTAAATGAAGATCTTGCGAGTCCTGTTGAGAACGCAATAAAACATTGTCAACCGATCAGTAAGCAGAACACTCGCATACACACATACACACACATACATACATACACGCACAAAATTATTTATATAAAATATTTTTAAATAAATGCAACTATATTTTAAAATGTCTTAAATATCAATAAGTTCTCTCATAATGTATCTAATGTTGCTATTTTTTTTATTTACAGTGTCGAAGTCGATAGATGGATGTGAATTAGCATACGAAACGGTTAAGTGCTTCTACGATTCTAATTCGGTAATATTTACAATTAGATAATCATTGCATATATCTTTTCATAACAACATGATAAAGATAGCGATTCTAAATATTAAGCAAGAAAAAATGAGATACGAAAAAAATTTTTATTATAAATTTTTATTTCATTTACGATTTATACGAAAATCTCTTTTCTTGAGATTAAATACGTATGAGAAACATCTTTTTAAATAGGAAAGAAAATCTTCTTTTAACCTTCAAATAAAATTTTTAAGTATAAAACAGTATAAAAACTTTATTTTATTTTCTTTTTATATATAATATATCTCCTAGAAGAAAGAATCATTTCCTATTATTTTTTAATTTAAAAAAAATGAAGCACGTCTAAGCAATGAAACTTAAATTTAATGGTTTAAACTGAACTTTACAATCACCATAAAAAGGCGCTTTTTACTGAAGAATGAAAAGAAGCACTGTATATTTTGTGCGCGATGGTTTCTTAAACTTTGCTAATAGTAATTAATATGCATATACTATATATATAATATGAAACACGCGCTAATGCATAATCAAATGTCTAATCAAATTTTTTAATAATAAATCAAATTAAAGTCAATTTCTTAAATAGAATTAAATAGATTAATGGCAATATAATAAACAATTAATAAGTTTGCCGCGTTAACCATTATAACATAATGGTATTGTAGACGTCATCAATCTCATTAATTGTTCATTATACTCCATTACACCATTCAATACATCATTTAAATTCAAAAACCCTTGTTATTAGCTAACAAATATTCACGGTAGTCTGGTATACATCGATATTTTAATGAGATAACAATATGTGTTTATGTATTATCATTATATTTACGACAGAGCTCAGTTCAAACTTTTTAAATTTTGACTTTGTGTTTTGATTTATCTTTTTTAGTATAAAAATTAAAGAAAATTGCCACACAATATACGAAAAAATATCCTGTCTGCATCTTATAAATTAATATTATATGAAAATTATTCTTACTTGTATATTTAGGATTTATATATAAAAATATAAAATTCTTCTTTCAGAATCAAATATACAACATATCCGTGTAAAGTAAAATTTTTTTAAATCTCTTTTTAGAATGCTCAAAAAATTCGTTTTTACAGCTCATCCTTTTCCCGTGATGATATCTCTCTCGATTCTCCAGCGCATTTGGATAATTCTGGAAACAATTTTGGCTCAGCTAGTCAAAGTAACAGGAGGACTCCATTACAGCAGAGTATGCATTGCATATTGAAAAACTTCCAAAATCGAAAGAAATTATTCCAAATGTATCCAATGTATATTAATTAAATAAATCTTGCGTCATAATATGTATTCATTTTTTATATACTTTTCAACCGTTTCTCGAGAAAATATTTAAAATCATATTTTATACTTAATTCAGACATTATACTTTAGTACGTGCAGTTTAATTCAGTAACAGAAATATTCAAATATGATATTTCAAAGTATATATAGATTTCAATAAGATGAAAAAGCTCACTTAAATACAAACACATTGAACACTATTAATGCAGCCGATTGTGCGTACGTGCAGCATGCAATGTTATAAAAATAATCTGAACTTGACTGTTGATCATTATCGAACATGCATTGCCACATCAATTATCGTCTGTTTCTGTTTAAACATACGACTAATCATACGTATTTCTCTCTCATGATATGGTAAAGGTCAAAAAAACATTCTCCTCGAATAAGTATTTTCCTATATTCTCCCACCACTTGAGCGAATGCGTCGAAATCTCAAGGCTTGTTTTTTCTAGCGAGGAAGTTTCAAAACTTTTTGGTGTTAGGTCGTCTTTACTCGCTCTTGCTCGTTCTTGGTGAGTCGTCAGCAAATTTAAAGACAGTCCGATAATATTACAATTGGGCTAACAAGACTTTATGGGGGACTCGTAATCTATTCTCTTATAAACGATCTTTATCGTATTGGTTTCACAATCTAAGCTATAAATACCGCTCACTACGTGGACACATCGCACTGCAAGGAAAAACGTCTGTCGTGAGAAAAGATAAAATTAAGTGAGTTTCTCAGAATATTCAAAGATTAGCAGAATGAAGATTTTCGTGCTCGTCGCGTGTGTACTGACCATTGCTGTGAGTAAAAAGTCAATCAATAAAACATTCATATTTCAATAACAATCGGATATTTAAACAATAAAGTGTACTTCTACGTCATTTTTAAATATTGAATAAAATCATAATAATATTTGATAAAAAATCGTCTTTAACAGATGTATTTAACAAGTATAATTTTTCATGATTGTTTATTTTTTTTAGTATTTGAAAGATGTTAAATATTTTTTATATTTAATTTTTTTTTTGAATTCAATATATATTTTATAATATAATATATTTAATTAAAAAGCTAATTTGTTAAGTATTAATTATTTTAGAGACTAAAAATATATGTATATTTTTATCACAAAAAACTATCTTTTTTTAAAACGTTCTTTTATATTATATAAATTCTTCTCAAACTTATATATATTTTTTTATAATTTGGACTATATATAAAATTCGTATACGGCCGAAAAATATCTCGCTTCTATTTTAATTTCCTAAATCAATTCGTGAATGACGATTCTGATAGCAATATTGTTATCGAAAGTATTATGCAACATTAAATCTATTAATATAACACAATTCTATTTAACTATTTCTCAAAATAAATTTACTTATTTTTATACTAGAAATTAAATTAATTTTTCTTTATATTTTCTTCCAAGGCTATGATCTATGCTGATGACGTCGAAACAGGACAGAACTTCGGCCAAGATCTCATAACATGTGCCGCCGAATTAAATTTGCCCCGTAAGTGTAAAATATTACGATCAAATAATAACATATGCTTAGCGGATACGAAATATTTATCGCATCTATCGCGAATAAGATTGGAAATCGAATTCATAGTTTCAAAATCGTTTCAATTAATTATAAAGACTTCTAAAATAAAGTTTTAATTATTTTTCTGTTTAAATCCAGAGTTGCGTTTTATTCAAAACAGAACTTATCTAAAAAAAAACAAATTTTTCTCCCCAGTCTATTAAAAAATGAAAGATAAAAATTAATGTGACGTTCATTATTTCATCAAGATATGTATTCATGTTAGGTAGAACTAAACAAAAAATGTATGTATTATTCATTCTAAAGATAAACTTTATTTTTTATGTAGTAATCACAAAATTACTTTCTATATTTTAAAATATTTTATTGCGTTGTCCGAAGATTAAGTTCACAAATATTTTTTCCTATCGTGATAATAGATTAGACAATAGAAATGAGATAAGAATGTGCCTGTTATTTCTTAATAATATTTTAAAAACGTAAAAAATTGATATATTGAAATATTTAAAGAAGAAATTATATCAGTATAGTTCTAGAAATTAGATTAAACACCATAGAAAATACCAATTATGTTTCAGATTCTACTTAGGTAAACTCATATTTACCTAAAACATTAGTCTAATATATTCCTCATTTATGTAATGAGTAGTTATTACAAAAAACTCTTAATCGTCAGATTATGTATTAAATCGCATATTATCACATCTATGTGATTTATATGATTTTGTGTTTTTTAGAAGAACTCAATGTCCACGTGATCAAGTGTATGTTTGAAAAAAATTCCTTGGTATGTATATTTATATGCATAGAAAAATTAATTCCGAATTAATCATAAGAATTATCAAATCAATATTAAATGACAGCTATATATAAGACTATCGATTCTTAAAATAATAAAAAATAGTAATTATAAAAATTATTAAGCATTAGCCTGTTTTAATCATTAGCAAAATATTAATAAAATTTAAATAACACGTTCCAATCGTAGAGATTACATTTAATGTAAGAGGTAATAAGAAAAAATTGTTTCTTCCTTGAAATAATTAAAGGAAAATTAATACTCAAATCCAGAGAATAGTGCATTTTAATACATACATCTTAAATGTTTTGTGTGATTTTAAATAATCAAATATTATTTTTTTTAATGTGTTTCTCTGAAAAATAGATATTAAGTTTTACATTATAGATTTTAAATATTAGTATTAAATTATTTATTATAGATCGCACTATACATATATATTGATTCTAGATCGACGAACAAGGTATGCTGAAAAAGGATGAGATTTTAAGATATTTCGGTAATATCTCTCCCAATCAACAACAGTTACAGCAAATTGCCTCTTGTATTGATTACGGTAATATCAGATATATACACATATTTTATTTTAATTTTCATATTCTTTATCTATGGACAGGGTGAATCACTAAAGGAGTTACAGGCTAATATTTTTGAAACTAAACAAGATATGAAATTGTTATTTTCCTGCGACTGTTTGGTATCAAAGCGGACATTCGACGTAAGAATGGAACTTCGCACTGCAGTTACAGTCGCTAGAAAATAAGGATTTCATATCTTCTTCAGTTTCAGAAATATTAGCCTGTAACATCTTTAGTGAGAGAGATTCATCCTATATATAAATATCTTTACAAAATTCTTCATATACATATACATAATATTATAATTCAATTATTTTATTATTTATCTTATTATGATTTAAACATTTGATATATTTATAACTATTTTAATATTATACACACATACATACATACGTATATATATGTATATATATGTATATATATGTGTATATATATATATATATATGCTGTAAAATAATATTGGGGAGCGTAAAATGAGAACTTTTTATTTAAAGCAGTATTTTCCCATAACTATTATTTTTCTATATATATTAGATATAGCTGCATATACACATTATATAATTATTATAGCTATTTTATATACGGATATATTTTTTTCTATGATAATTTGTATGACAGTTTCTTCTGTTTGAACTAGTTTGTTTAGTATTTTGTAAGTATTGATAGCTTCAATAGTATGCATTGTATTCCTACAAGGGTTTTCTTATCGTTGCTTTCTTCACCTCGTGTCTCCGCTATTAAAAAAAAATGTCCGTTAATATCTTACATATTAACGTATAATTTTAATATATATCACATTAGCACATTAAAGATTTAATATAATAATATGTGTAAATATATGTGATGCAAATGATTACATTAAATCTTTAAATATCTTTAATTTATATATATATATATATATATATATATATATATATATATATATATATATATATATATATATATATATATATATATATATATATATATATATATATATATATATATATATATATATATATATATATATATATATATATATATATATATATATATATATATATGTATATATATATATATATATATATATATATATATATATATATATATAAATTAAAGATATTTAAAGATTTAATGTAATCATTTGCATCACATATATTTACACATATTATTATATTAAATCTTTAATGTGCTAATGTGATATATATTAAAATTATACGTTAATATGTAAGATATTAACGGACATTTTTTTTTAATAGCGGAGACACGAGGTGAAGAAAGCAACGATAAGAAAACCCTTGTAGGAATACAATGCATACTATTGAAGCTATCAATACTTACAAAATACTAAACAAACTAGTTCAAACAGAAGAAACTGTCATACAAATTATCATAGAAAAAAATATATCCGTATATAAAATAGCTATAATAATTATATAATGTGTATATGCAGCTATATCTAATATATATAGAAAAATAATAGTTATGGGAAAATACTGCTTTAAATAAAAAGTTCTCATTTTACGCTCCCCAATATTATTTTACAGCACCAAACTTTCAATACATACACTCGTTTTAATATAACTATTTATCAAATTATTCCACAATTTTAAAGCACTTATAAAATTTCTTGTAACAATAAGATAATTTCTAACATTTTCTTACATCTTTCTAGAATTCACAAATATCTCATTTTTACAGTTTGCCTTTTTTCAATATTTTTCTCGCTTCTTTAGCGTGTTTGAATAATTTTAGAAACAATTTTATGATAAATGAATAATTCTAGGAACAATTTAGGGTTATCTTATCGAAATTACTAGAGAAGCGTTGCAGCAAAATATACAATGCGTATTTGCTACATTTGCCATTGAATTCCGAAATCGATTGAAATTATCAGAAATACATCAAATACATATTAATTAAGCAATATATAATGCATTATAATACATCTCCACTCTTCATTCTCCTTTCAACCTTTTTCTCGAGAAAGTACTTGGATCATACTTTATCTTGATTCATAAACATTATATTTTATTACGCCCAGTTTCGTGACCTACTTTAATTTAATAACGAAAATATCCATGATACTTCGAAGTATATACATATACATTTAATACAATAAAAAATGTTGCATACAATCACAATGGCATTAATGTAATTGTAGTCGATTGCGCATTTTTGTGCTAGCTAATGCAGCGCGTTATTACATGTATCTGTAACTGGATTTGATTACATCATTATCGAACGTGCATATCACCACATTTATTATCATCATGTCCTGCTTAAACATGCGACTAATCACACGTATTCCTTTCAACAGTCTAACAATCGGACTAACAATTTTTCATTAATCACATGTATTTCTTTTATCAGGCCATCACAATTGGACCAACAATTTTTAACTCATCCTTATAAATACTGTTAGCGACGTCGATACACTGCAATGTAAGGAAGAAAACCTTTGCGAAAATCGAATTTGTGAACCTCAAAGTACTCGAAGAATAACAGGATGAAGACTTTCGTGCTCATCACATACGTACTGACCGTTACCGTGAGTAAAAAACAACGAGTAAAATATTCATGATATTTCAAATTAGATATTTCAATAACAGACCATATTTTTCTATATCATTCTTAAATATTGTACAAAATCGTAATAATATTTATTAAACGTCTTAAATAAATGTTTAATTATCGTAATAATATTGCATAATTCTTCGTTTTCCATATTTAATATTTAAAATCACAAAAATATTTATATTTTTTTCTGATTTGATATTTTATAATATAATAAATTAATTTGTTAAATAATTATTTTAAAAACTGAAATACTTATATTTATTAAACAATTATCTTTTTCTAAAGCCTTTTTTATATAGATTCTTCTCAAACTTATGTATATTCATTTGTAATTTGAGTTATGTATAAAATACAAATATGACTAACAATAAGAACTATCTCGCTTCCGTTTTGATCTTTTCGTTAATCAATCTAATCGTTAATCGCAATTATACTTAATTACTTCTTAAAATAAAATTATTTCTTTATATTGGACTTTAATTGATTTTCTTTTACATTTTTTTCTAGGCTATGGTCTATACTACTGACGTCCAAAAAGTACGGATATTCTATTCGGCGATGGCAAGCTGTGCTAACCAATTGCGTTTGCTCAGTGAGTATTGCATATTACAATTTAATATTAACATATGCTAAGCGGATGAAAAAAATGTGTCGGATCTATTGAATGAGATTAAAAATTAAATTACTCAGTTGTAAAATTGTTTTAATTAATCATGAAAATGACTAAAAAGTTTTTTAATTATCAACCAAATAAATTAAACAATCAAAATATAGAATGCACGAAATATGTGTGTTTAAAATTTACATATACTATTGATCTCGTTTTTAAAACCTCTAAGAGTGATCCATCTCAATCACTAATTCATTTAATTCCTAATTATTGTAAATGTCGAAAGACTAAAAAAAAATAATGTCGTGTGCCGTTACTCCAATGTAGTACAAATATTTATCGTGTCGGAAAAGATTTCGATCGATATCCTGATGATATTTTAATTTAATAGAACAATTTCTAGAGTGCTTCTGATTGTGAAAAACCAATTGTTGCAATAACTGTACAAGCGCAAAAAAAAAGGTACTTTGAAAAGGATATAACGTTAATTTACATGAATAATATGTATTCGAATTTACATAAATTTCATTTACGAACACATAATTGTTACAGATTATGTATCAAATAATATATGCATATATTATTTATTATAACTTATATGTTTTGCAGATCAACCCAGTCCTGATGTGCTTGAATGTATATTGCATCGATTTGGCTTGGTATGTATATTTATACATAAGAAAATTATTTTTCAATTAATCAAAAAAAAGTCAAATCAACATTAAATAATAATTAAAGCAGTTAAATTTCAAAATAATGAAAAACAACAATTATGCAATTTATTAGCCTTAATTATTAGCATAAAATTATCATTATTTCCTGTTTGATCTTTATCATTAAAGATCTTTAACATTTAAATAACACGTTCCAATCGCAGAGATTGACGTAATGGATAACAAGAAAAAATTATTTGTCCTATATATGTATAATTAAAGAAAAATATGTATAATTAAAGTAAAATATGTAGAAAAATTAATTCTCAAGTCTCACGAAAATAGCACATTTTAATACAATTACATACAATTTTTATAATTTTTGTGTAATCATAGATTTCCATTTTTTTTATTTTTCTGCGTTAAATCAATATCAAAATTTTTTTAAATGCGTATTACGTGCACGTCATTCATTTTTTTATGTTTAAATATAGATCATATTAAGTTACTTATTGTAAATCGGACTATATATATATCTTATTGGTCGTAGATCGACGAGCTGGGTATGCTAAACAAGTATGCGACTTCAAGATATTTAGAGGATCTCATCTCCGATCCGAACAAATTGTGGCAAGCGCGATACCAACTGGAGTCTTGTTTCAATCATGGTAATTAACATTGTATATATATATCATATATATATAATGTTATTATTCAATTATCTTTTATTTTTTATTATTTAAACATTTCATATATTTACAATTATTTTAATATTATTAATATATTGTATACATATATACACATAAACATATATTTAACTTATAAATACAGAGAAGTATATAATATATTACTTTATATATCATATTAATTATTATATTATAATTTTTAATGTGTTAATGTAGCATACATTACATTTGTAATAACTTGTGAGATAAAACATGATAGAACTTTGTTTCTGCAATTTCAGGAAATGTACCTGAAAATAACAACCATGAGAATACAATGAGAATCATAAAATGCGCAGCACCAGTGGTAGGGTTGATTGACTAACTGTCATAGAAGAAAAGCTATATCAATATAACTATGTAATATTTATAAAAATAGCAATTATGTGGAAATCTCGCATTTCAAATAAAATTTTCATTTTGCGTTATTGTATGTTGTTGCTTATGTTCATATCAAGCTTAAAAATAAAAAAAACTTCTTATAAAAACTTTTTAACTAATTCAAACGGTCAAAACATTCTTTTATGTTTTTATTAATTACATAATTTATAAAAAAAAATATATAAATCCGTTTTCTTATGGAATAATTACAAAATATTGTTTAAGGCATTTTTATTGTTAGAAAAAAATTAGATGCATTGTTTATCATAGATTTCGTATTCCAAACCACTTCTATTTCTAATCACAATAAACTATTATTCAAATAATAAATTTAAAATATAAAAATTGTATTTTTTATGGAAAGAACGAATCGCGAGGACTTCGCTATATCGCATGATATTCAAGCAACAATTATCATGTATAAAGTACATCAGTGTTGAATACCGATAACGTGGACATCCCGTATCAATTCAATCTAATAGTTCAATCGATTTAATAATCCAAGATTAAAAAAATACTTATGCATAATATGCATCACTATATATTCGGAGAAAATATAAGAAAAATACAATTTTACGTCTGTGCACATAACTGTGCAAACAATTTTATGTCAGTTCCACTATCTTTTTCAAATTACAGAAATCTACTATAATGATAGCTATTTTGCAAATAATCGAGCAAAAACTAATGCAGTAATTAAGCATCAAGCAAACTTACGCGCTGCTAATCCGAACAACGCACGATCCAATATTAAAAACGAACTCACTTTAACAATCTTTTTACAAAAAGATTAATAGAAAATGCAAAGTATATATTGCGTCATTAAGGACATTATGTCACATATCATCTTCTAATTGTAAATATAAATACATAGTTAAAGTATCATAATTATATAAAATCGTATATATTCTCAATATAAAATTTATATGATATCTCAATGCCTTGAAATCGATTTATTTTCAGCATTTATATTTTATTTATTATTACGTAGTATTAAGATCCAAAAAGCAAGAGAAACCACAAAGTTATAAAAAGCCATAAAGCTATAAAGCTAGTCGATCCTAATAAACGAAGAAAATTTGTTTTTATTATTCTACGTAACATTTGTGTAATATTACTATAATAGCAACACAGAGGGAGATTCTGTACTTTAAACATTAATAATTTTCATTTCATTTTATGTTAATGCATTTACTATCTTTTTCAAATTACAGAAATCTACTATAATGATAGCTATTTTGCAAATAATCGAGCAAAAACTAATGCAGTAATTAAGCATCAAGCAAACTTACGCGCTGCTAATCCGAACAACGCACGATCCAATATTAAAAACAAACTCACTTTAACAATCTTTTTACAAAAAGATTAATAGAAAATGCAAAGTATATATTGCGTCATTAAGGACATTATGTCACATATCATCTTCTAATTGTAAATATAAATACATAGTTAAAGTATCATAATTATATAAAATCGTATATATTCTCAATATAAAATTTATATGATATCTCAATGCCTTGAAATCGATTTATTTTCAGCATTTATATTTTATTTATTATTACGTAGTATTAAGATCCAAAAAGCAAGAGAAACCACAAAGTTATAAAAAGCCATAAAGCTATAAAGCTAGTCGATCCTAATAAACGAAGAAAATTTGTTTTTATTATTCTACGTAACATTTGTGTAATATTACTATAATAGCAACACAGAGGGAGATTCTGTGCTTTAAACATTAATAATTTTCATTTCATTTTATGTTAATGCATTTTTAGGAATTCTAAATAAAGATTCTTTGTCTTTTAACTTGTAACTGTCTTCTATCTATTATTCTCAATAAAATATAAGATACTTAATCTTCTCTTTTAGAATATTATCAAAATATCTTAGCTTTATTCTTAATTTCATAATAGATATAATTAAAATATTGTAAAAATAATATTTTTATGAAAAAAGAACAACTTTAGTGGTTCCTGAATTTCCAATTTTCAACATTTTTGCTACATTTTTTAATATTTAACTTCTCAAATATACTATTTCAAACGATTAGAGAATCACTCTTCTGACAAGAACAATATTAAATTTATGCCACATAAATACCAACAATTAAAAAAAAATTAAAATAAATATATAATAATTAAAAACTTTATAATAGACCAGACATAGCACGCATATTTGACGAATATTTAAAGTTATTTTTCTCAAAAACGAAGTCTCGTATAAAAAAAATATTATTCTACATTTTCGACTTATTTTTTTCATACAGAATCACCTCTTTCTTGCTTTGTATCATCAGTTCCGAGACACCCTATACATAATATAATGTATTATTAAAACATATTAAATACATAATATTATTAAAATTGCATAGTGCCCATGTATTGAAACCAATTTATTTTCCATTTCTATTTATTATAATTAAAGCGTATCAAAGCCTAAAAAACAACAACGAAAAGAACCATGAAGGTTATAACATGTAGATTGCAGATAGTAAATCAAGTCGACAAGCCTCAACAGAAATATGTTTTTTTTCTGCGTAATATTTGTGAAATGTATTATAGCGGTGCAGAGATTCTGTGGTTTAAATATCAATCACTCTCATTTCATTTCACGGTCTAATGCATTTTTAGAGATTTTAAATGAAGGTTCTTTGTCTCTTATAAATTATTACTTTTATATTAATAATTCAATAAAATGTAAAACTTAACTCTTTTAGGATATTATCAAAATATCCTGGCTTTTATTTCTTAATTATATGATATATATAAAATCGAGTTTTTGTTTTTAAAAGCCGAAACTCTCTCTCTCTCTCTCTCTCTCTCTCTCTCTCTCTCTCTCTCTACAATTAACAAAACACATACATATAACAAACATCATAAATTTTCCCAAAATGTCATCAAAAATGATGAGGAAATTATCGCAGCATGGCGCATACCCTATGCGTTCATAAGATCACTTGTGCAGAATGTTTCCTATTTTATATGTGAGATATTATCATTGTGTAAATGCATTATGCATATATGCAATATGATTATTCTTGTTTTTGTATGCAACGTTTTAATACGCAATAGTTTCTCTGCGCAAAAGTACATCCGTATTTCATTACTTGTGTATAATAAGACTTATAAGCAATTGTTGTTTTACATGCAATTGAAATGATCGATAATCTAGATTGTCAGTGAAACAATGTGGGCAAATGACTCTGTTGGCAATCAAGATTTTTTATAGACAAACAAAAATGATTCATCTTTTCGTTTAAAAAATAAATTGTATTACAAAATAATTATATATAAATGTATGAATAATAAATTGTTATAATTCTTGTAAATAATAATAACAGTAAAAAATCGTAATATATAAAATCATTC